CTTTTTAGTCAGTGATCATGTTCTCAAAACCTGTGATGAATTAACTGAGAGTTCAGCTTGTTGATTTGGAATAATAATACCTAATAATACCAGCAAGGAAATTGAGTTAAAAAGTGCTGAAGTGAAAATGTTTTATTTGGACCTTTCACCTGTTGTAATTTGTTGGCAAAATTCTATGTCGATACATTTCTATACCTCTACACTAATCCAGCCTCCTTCTCACTGTTTCACAGAATATTGGCTCTGATTTAGATATTAGCAACCCCTGACAGTTTCAAACAAAAGTCAATATCGTTATGTGTAGGCAACAGAATACAACAAAGTCATGCCAGAGTTAATAAAACACCTGTTACCATGACTGACTGAGCTCTCGCATGGATGTCTCTGTTCAGCACATTGGTCTTGAACTACAAACCATCCCAAAGTTATGGCGGAGAGCAAAGGTCATTGCCCTTCCTAAACCTGGAAAAGATTTTCTTTCCCCTACAAAATCCTTGAGTACCTTGTCCTGTAAGGCTTAATACCAGCTCTTGAAGATGTCCATACTGTAGACCTGACTGGTTTCTACAAGGAACCAGCACAACAGAAGAAGTAGTGTCCCACACTACCTTATTGAAAATGGCCTTCAGATTAGAGACAGGTGCTATGTTCCACGACTTCATGAAAGCCTATGATATGGTCCAGCACTCTCATCTTCTGTTGAAGCTGTCACATCCCCGCCCAACCCCACGGCCACCAAAATAATCCAAACACTGGTGAGCAATAGACAATTCAGAGTTAACCTCGGACAGGAAGCAAGTAACAACAGGCAAATGGACTCCCTTTAGGAACACCACTGTCTCCCCACCTATTTAATCTGTACATAAATGTCCTCCTAAAAACCACATCCCGAAAGTTCATATGTCAATGACATCTGTCTGCCAGAATAAGCTCACAGATTTAACACCATGCACCAGGTCCTAAATGAAGACATATCAAAACTTGAACAGTACTCCTACATGTGGCGACCCAAACTAAGCCCTGCAAAAACAGCATCCAGCCTGTTTCACTTCCACAATGCAAAAGCAAACAAAAAAACTCAACATTTAGATTATCTGTTAAAGATTACACCACCATACTACTCCGGTATGCCTTGAAGTGACTGTAGACATTACATTACCTTAAAGACAACAGCAGCCAACAGTGTGATCTCCAGACTTGCTGGTACAACATGGGGCGCTGCCAGTACCACTCTCTGGACCTCAGCAGCAGAATGGCTACTCCTGTCTGATCAAGATCATCACGTACTCACAGAGTAGACACCCAACATGACACCATGCACATCATCATCACTGGAATCCCACGCTCTACCCCACTCCCTTGACTCCCTGTCCTGGTAAACATTCACTCCTCCCCTCATCCAACAACTCGCAGTAATCCACAAATTCCTCAAAAAGGTCCAAAACTCTTCTCACCTGCCACTATATGAGTAAATATTCAATTCACCACAACACGTCTGTCTTCAGGAAAACCATTGTGGAAAAACACTCTACACAGCTGGTCCAGAAGCTATTGTTTGGCTCAGGCTTGTTGCATTTGTAAATAAATTATGTACAGTGTCAATTGAGGGCATTCTTCAGTGCAGTCTCTGCTGTGAGGTTTAAAAAGCAGTGATACAAAGGTCTCCCAGAGTCTCCCTCCTCTCCTTACCTGACGATCAGATTCAGAAGAACAGTACCTTATCAGTTGTCTTTCGGTTTTTCAGTTTTGACAGCGGTACCTTTTGATACCTTTTGGCCTTTTGAAAAGGACAAGCTATAGTGCTCTACATAAATATTCACCCCCTCCCAAAGATGTTCCAGTTTGTTGAGTTCTGAATAATATATCTACATTTTTAAGTGGATATATCTAATTAAAACATTAACTCAGTGAAAGAAGATAAATGTCTGCAAACCTGCAAAGAACAATCAAAATCACTAAGTAAACGAGAGCCCTGGTAGAGGCTGATGTATTAATTGTAAGATCTTGTAAAACGTCAATAAAATGGGACTGATCACACATGAAAAATGCCTTCATCGTGAAGTCTGCGTATTTGAGGTAAGAGGAAAAGTTGGGCCTTGCCCATGTTATTTCCTCTTTTATTTGGAAGAAGAGGTAGCACACACTAGTCAGTAAGGTGGCATGGTGGCATAGCAGCGCTGGGGCCCTGGGTTCAGTTCCAGACCTGGGATGTGAACCACATGGAGTCTGCATGGTCTCCACATTTTTGCATCCTTGCCTGGATAGGCTCTGGCTCCCCTGTGACCCTGAATATGAAGGAGAGCTTAGAAAATGGACGGATGGAAGTAGAACATATTTTATTCCCCCAGTCCATGGGGCTACCTTTTTGTTGCCCCTGCTGCTTCCTGGGCCTGAAAGAAAAAATCCCTTCTTTTGCTACAGACACAGCAGTGTTCACCAGCCCCCTTTGCTCACAATACCAGGGAGCTCTGCCAGCAGCACCCACTATTTGTCAAATCGAGGAACAACAGCAACTTTGATTAACAGTTGCGCTCTGCTGTTTTATTGTACTCTTAATGTCTTTTTGAGGGCCCCCCGAGAGCAATGCTTTTAAGCGGCACCGTTCAGCTCTGGGAGTTGCTGCTCAGTTACATACTTGATTAGCTGTGTGCTGTCTGGACGCACTGTGCTCAGCTCGCAGTGTGACAGTTTTGATAAACATTGATGCTTCTTGGAAGAAAACATTTAAGCCGCGCTTTCATTTCTGGAGCGTCATAATTTAACTATGCCTACATTGTGTAAAAAGCAACATGGAAAGTCAATTGCATCATTTGACACCTTGTGAATAACAACCAAGAAGGTATAATATAGAAAGCCTTATGAAGAGACATTTCAGCTTGTGGTTTCTAAAATAAAAAAAGTGTGAAATACTTTATACTTATACCAGACCTTAAATCTGGTAAAAGATTATAATGGACATATTATTATTGCAGGTGGTATGTACAGTAGGTGGCGTACTTCAGTATTAGATGAAGCGTTCCCTTCTTATATGTGAATTGGTTTGGGATCCTTTGGTATGAAAAACACTGTGCAATCATTTAGTGATCGTCAGACTTTACATGAGTGTTTTCAGGTACGAAGTCTGACAGAACTTACTCTTTGTGTTTCAGAGTTCACAATGCTCTCTTTGCGAAAGTAAAGAGTGCCTGTACTGTACGTTCACTTCTTGAAGACTCCAGTGATAAAAAATAGACATCCGGTCTTTAAAGCTCAAATACTGTCGTTAAAGAGGTTTGGTGGTCTTTGTGGAGCGTTAATGATGGCAGAGAAACCAAGTCACAGACTTGATATTTGAACAGTCTAATACACTCTTGCATGCATTGTGCCTGGCAGCTTAAATGATTTGCAAGCGGACTGCTACTGTTACATTTCAGACCTTTTAAGGAAGATGCGTGACCGGGGGGATAATGCTGAACAGACTGTTTCACTGGCAGCCATTTCAACAGTGTTTGTGCAGTTGCGATTATTCTCAGTAGAAAATGTGAGCATCAGATGTTTTTTGACATGTCTGCATTAGGTCCAGGTGTACATCAGCAAACTGCAGGAACCCATTATGTGGTCTCTGGGTTGCAGCCTTTTGTACTTAAACGGATATAAGTTTAATGGATAGCAGGAAGGATCTGAGCCACACTGTGTATCATCTTGTATTTTATTAAATATTCTGAAGGTCTCAATGACCAGCAGGAGCTCTCTTTTACAAAGCCTGCCTAGTGTAAAGGTCTAAAAGTTCACTTAAAACCCAGTTGACTGAACCAGGTGGAGGAAGACAAGCTGGTATGGAGCACCTTGAGATCCCAGGGTGTCAGAATTTGAAAGTGAAACATGAACACCCTTATCCCTTATGAGTCTTATCAGTCTCATTCAGTTTAATGGAAGACAGTAGTCACTGACTGCATGGGATAGCCAATGAAAATCTTGCAACACTTTTCAGATTTATGGTGTACAGTATGTTAAAAGCATGCAGTTGCAATTAATTGTTAGTATGGATAGTTTCTCCTTCCTGTTGCTCATCAGTGTAACTGCTTACTTTGAATAGTAAAACATATGTGTTTATCTTACAAGTGTTGAAAGAACATTATTATATATTCTTTATGTTTATATATTATATATTCCTTCTATATGTATGAGTATTTATATCCAAGTAGAAATTAAAATATCAGCTAATTGTACATTTTCCAGAAATAATAACATGGGTTTAATCCATGTGTTTCTCCATGTATACTTAAGTAATCAGCATTCATGTTAGAGGTTATAATAGTAATCTACAGTTTACAGAGCAGAGTTTTAGATGAAACACAGCTTGAATCATAGCCATACTATGTAGTCATAGTCATGCTGTGATAATATTCCACTTGGCTCCATGAACCATAGATAACCTACACATTCACAGACTGACTGTCCTAACACAAATCCTGAAAGTGTATATTATATACTGTAGTTAAGATATGAATGATCTTACCTTTCTTTGACTAGCGCTGTAGCTAGACTCTCAGCACTTAATTCTCAATGTAGCTGTTTGTATACAAATGGTATAAAGACCGTATTCACCCCAGAATGATACCTACCAATCTCACCATCCTTTCAACTTGATTTGCAGATCACCTTAATGATATTTTAGTCACTTCAGAGCTGTCAAAAGTCTGAGAAGATCATAAACGGGTGACATCACCCTAACAGGCACATTATGTGTTCATCTCCTGTGAAATCTCTGGACTGTAGCTCTTGTTTTTTCCAATGGCCTTGTAAATGTAGTGGGGTCAGCTGCAAAAACGTCTAGCTGATAAATGATGTCTAGGGCTCTTTCAGAAGAGGTTGTCTAAAGCCTGATAAGTTCAGTGAAAAATCTCCTCCGCTTGTTTATGTAGCTGGTGGAGTGGGGGAGCTATGTGAAAGAGTCTCCTTGTTCCAGTCCCAAGCCTGTGTACTTGACTGAGATTGCTTATCTCCCTTTCCCCTCTCAGATCGTGGGCCCAGCAGACGGCTCCAGCTACATAGTGGATTACTACGGAGCACGACTCACTCGCCTCACTGTCAACAATGAGACCTACAGGAAGACCCAGACAGGGCCCTAGAGAAGAGAGTGGTAAGCAGAGCAGTCACGCCACACATATAAACACAAGGAAGGTTACAGAAGAGAGGAGGCCATCCAACCCATCCAGCACATTGGCTTTCTAATATCTATAAATGATCTCTTTTACATCCGTTGTTTAAAAAAGAAGCAAAATATCAATTTTGACAACATTATTGGGTAGCTTGTTCCATGCTTCCTTTATGTAAAAACTGTTTTCAGTTTTAAATGCACTTCTTCATAGTTTCCATTTGTGCCCTTTGGCTCGTGTTTCACTGTTGGTTCTGTAGACGTCTAAATACTTTAATCAGGTCCCTTCATAGTCTTTCCTGTACAAGAACAAAAACCAGTAGTTCTTTTAGCCTGTGCAAGTAAAAAATTCCTTTAGCCTTTTAAGGCGTTGGAGAGTGTATGTGGTTACTCTTCTCTGCACTGATGTTGCTGCTCTGTAATCTTCGTAAGATTCTGACCAAAGTCGTGCATAGCGCTCTAAAGCAGGTATTATAAATGCACTGTAGTTTGTCCTTGTCAATCTACACTACACAATATCAGTCCTTTCAAACCTTTTCACGCCGTTTCCTTCATTACTGATCTGGTAAAAATGGTCTTGTCTTATGAAGAGTCTGGTGTAGCCGTAGCTTTGACCTTTTTATCTTATGATGGGATACAAGGCTGTACGACTTCAAGACAGTTGTGGAGTACAGTGTTTTTGTGTACTTTTTTCACACGCCAAACCGCAGTTTCAGATGACATAGAAAAGATATGTATGAAAAGACATGTATCACTGCAGGGAATGTCTACAAACAGGCTTGCAGTCCAACCAGATTTCATCCTGCTCCATTCAGTAAAAGGAGTGAAGGGCCTTCATACCAGGAAAACCAGTCACCTCCAAACTCAGGCCTTGGCTACAAGCCCTTTTTAATTCTCCTGAGAGCGAGGATGATTTTTATCACTTGAAATGATTTACACACAAAGATCAGAAAGTGAATATGTAGACAAAAAATACAATCTTCAGTCATTCAAGATTAACATTTGTAATTAATACATTTTGCTTACATTCTAAATGTGGGCTAAAAATATAAAATTAACATTAGTTTTGTGGTCTTCGTAACTTGGTACTGTTCTGCATTTGTGTTTTTGAAGTAAAACACCATACATTCCATTAAATAATGAGTTTTTTACTTTGTTTAAGCTGACTTTGATGCATGCTAATTTGACCAGTGTGTCTCTGTATAAACAGGAAATCTATTAGCTGTTTATTTTATCAATCATAAAGTTACTCCAGCGTGGAATCACTTAATTACTTGAAAATCTGACACAAAAGGTTTTTAGCCTATTGGAAAAAGGAGGATTGTTGAGCGCTCAAATTTTCTGAAAAATACTAGTTGAAAATGAGACCACACCTTTTAACTTGCTGAGTGCTGATGTGTTTTGAATAGTTAAATGGGTTACAATAACCAAATTAAAAGGACTGCTTTTAATTGTGGTATTTTGTGGACGGCAGAAAATTCAAAAATTTCAATTGGTGATTCCTCCAGTTATAATCATGGTAACAGGTGTGTGCAGAAATATAACATTGAAGCATTGCTTTACCTCTGCACATCTCTTGTACTGTTAACTAGTTGAACAGGACTGAGTGCGTGGGGTGAGTTTTGTCCATTTGAGTTTGTTCAACAAGTTGGTTTCTTATTCATGAAGATCTGCCGATGGGCTCGGCAGCAGCTGGAAGAAGAGTAAACATTGTCAAAGACGGTCTTTAAGACACATAAATCTTCGTGGCGTCCACCACTGCACACAGCAGAGCAGGAAAGAGGCTGGGACGGGGGGCAAAAACAGGTTGGGCCTTGTGCACACACACAAAAAAATGCTGTATTTCTTCCCCAGAGCTTAAATGACCTGTCAGGGTAAGCAGAACCATAACACAAGGACATCTGTAACGCAGCCCAGCTGACACTGAGCTCTCCTGCGCGGGAGCTCCCACTGCCCCCAACAGAACAGCCTCAGCACTGGGACAGGGATGATTAAATGTCAGGCTGTAAAACAAACTTTTTTAAAAAAAGAAAGGGTCGTGAGATTGCACTCATTACACTGGGTACAGGGCCGTCTCCCTCTCTCAATTCTCTGTCTGGTTAGCTTTAAAGTCCCAATGCATGTTTGTGGTGGCAGGGCTGTTGTGAGCCATGTCCCACCATAGAGAAACATATGGAGTAGATTAGGCCTTGAAATGTTTACATTATCGCAGTCTGAAATACAAAAAAACCCAACTGCTTAGTCTCTCTGCTCGGTTTTCCTTTTTTTTCCCCCCAATAATCCTAATATATCTGGGTCATTGAAGCTAAAGTCAGCATGAATTCTGAGAATTGGCTGTTCACAGGTCAGTTAGATTTCCTGGTAAATGTCATGCAGAATAGCCCTTTTAAGAAACGAAGAGACGTTTAAACTCTTCAGCTCTCCCAGACAAAGCAGCAATTTATTTTCCTAAACCCCACGAAAGACACATGGGCCTTCCTCATCAATTTTCTCGTTGTTTTTTTTTTCCAGAGTTTTCCTTCCGTTTCTCATCATTTGTATCCTACATTACTTGGCCTATCCATGCTTTAATAATCTTTTACCAAGATTTTGCCGTGTTCTGTGGCAAATTACAAGCTGCACCAAAGAATTGTTTTGTAAGGCTAATTGAACCAGGTCAAGAAGGAAAAAAAGGCTACAACACGGCTGACCAGCCCCTCTGCTGACGAGAAGGGATGCTGGCCTGATTCACCAGCTCTCACAAGAGGGACAGGACTGCATGTGGAGGGTTTCCAACTAATAGTCTTTACTTACTGTATGTTCTTTAAAAAAATGAGATTGCGCTCATTTGTGCCCATGAACTATTCTCCCAAGTCCATGACTTCAAAAAATCTGTCGAGCAATATGAACCAAGCTCTAGTATTTTACTAGCTATGCATTTAATAAATTAAACCACATCCCTTATACTTTTTGCAGTTAGAATACAGTAATTACAGTATGTCATTCTTTTGAGCTTAAATTGATTTGGGACAAATGATTCTTAAACTTAGTAAGCAAAAGAAATACAGAAATCACAAAAAAACTGGTAGAACGAACAGTAATGTTTTACTTGAATTATGCTACAAAACACTATCATAACTCCTCCATAGGCTCTAGAGAGTGTAATAAAATAACATGCATAAAAGGCATATAGTGAAATAAAATTCTCATAAATAAACTAGGATCACTGTTGCTGTCAGCTTTAATGTTTGTCTACCTGGAGTTTCGCTCGTCATGAGCCATTATGAATAATCACATGCCTGTAATGTAATTTGCACAAATGATTATGAAGGATTAAGCACGTTCATTATATTATTTCGTGTAGTGTTTAAGAAGTATTTGTGATGCTATTTTTTACATTACAGAATAAACCTAATGTTTGTGTGCCCTTAGGGGTGCTGTTTCACTTGCAGGCTGTTGGTCCAGAGCACTTCACCTGCAAGACCTGTGCATTCAATCAGCTCGCATCCTCTGCAGAGCAAAACAAGATTCCTTGAAGCTCATGTTTCATTGATAGTCAAGGGCTGCACAGCCCTTCCTATGTGTCAGGCCAGGAAGCCCTGTCTTGTATCAGGCCTTGCTGAAGCTAGTTTACTGTACTGATACTCAAAGCCACATACCCAAAGGATAATAAAGTCAGCTCAGACTATAACCTTAACATTATCTGGCCTTTCCTTGTAGTTACACAGACCGCAGTTTTCTTTTATTCAAATGGAATTTCATGGTAATGCTTATGAATGTTGTTTTCTTTTCATGGGTTGTAGTAAACTGTCCTTCTGTGTCCCAGCTTGACTTGTTCAGTTCTTTGTCCAAATAAACCCCTTTCCTTATTGGTCCCTCCTCCTGCCACAGTATCTGTCCTCCTTCATAGCTTAATCATTGCAGTGTCCTGATTGCTCTGCTTGACGTACCTGTCCACAAGCTACAGCTGTGGCTGTATGAAGACCCCCACCAGCCTGGCTCATTAAGACGTTTTGATCATTTGCTCTAATGACATCATTGGCAGGCTTTTGTGAAATTGTTTTTCTGTACATCAGGCTCACCTGCATCAAAGACAAAGCAGCAATTCACTTAACTCGCAGCATGCCATGCTGGAAAGGTATCTACACAGACATTCCTCCCCACAGGATTCCTTTGATTCCAGAAATTGCTTGTAATCACAGATTTTATACACTACCAGATGATGAAGAAAGGAGCCAAGTCCCCAGTCTGTACCAGGAGTGCCCAGATTTGGTCCTGCAGAGCCATAGTTTATCTATAGATGTATAGAGACCTGCAAAAGCTGCAGGTCTCTAATGAATTGCAGATGTAATTTGAGTTCAGTCAGTAGTGGCCAGTAATAATCCTAAAAATTTAATGGGTGTTGATGTTTGAGCAAAGAAGAGATCCTTACTACATCGATCAGTTGTTCTTTTTAAGTTTTGCCCCGTGACCTATCAGCTGATGATTTAATGTAGATGTAATAAAGGTTGTATGAATTTCTCAGAATCAGAAAACAACAGATCCTGTTTTATTAATATTATGCAGGCAATGGAATGAGCATATGATTTTGAGCATAATGTCTAATTCATATAATAGTTCGGAATCAAAGATTGATGCCATATTCTTCACCTTTGACTTAATATTTATTATAAAATGTCTTGTTTTGTTAGCTCTGTCAACTGACAACTGGACTGGCAGATATAAAGCTGCATTGCTTTCACATTGTTGTGAAGAGGACGCACTTATGAAAAAGATAACAAAGGGCCTAAAATGTAGCCCTGTAGGACACCACATGTATCATTACCCAGTCCAGATGCAGATTCTCCTGCAGATAAATTATTGTCCATTAAAAACAATCTAAAGTGTTGTCAAAAGGACTAGGTCTCTAAAATGATTTGTCAGAATTTCATGGTATCAAGAGCAACAGTTAAGAATCTGATTCAAAATTAAATCAGCCCTTACATTTACTAATCTGACTAATTCAATATCAGTGCTATTATTAGAACTGAAACCTGTCTGAAACTTCTCCATACAATTGTTCTAGCTCAGGATGGGTAACTAAATACTAGTATTTCCTAGCAGAATTACTCTAGTCTGTAGGTTCAGTGCAATGAGTATTGTCTTAAGTGCTCACCTAGCTGTTCTAGGACCTTGAGGCAAAGATACAGATGATCAAAAGACGTGGGACTAATAGTTAAACGAATTCTCTGTTCATTCATCATCCGCCAGAACATGAATATTTAACAGTGACCAGACTTTTGTTAGTGGGGCTGATATGCCAGCGTCCATGAAAATTGGTCACAAGACAAAGCAGGCTTGTAGGCAAGATAAATACATGAACAGGAGGATGAGAGGATTAGCACAAAAGGAAGGTAGGAAAGAGAGGAAACATGCTCATTATCAGAGGTAGCAGAGAGGATTGTACAGCTAGAGAGTTTTCCTCTTTCATCAGACTTGGAACTTGGTTCTGTACAGGTAATCTGGAGGGGTTTGCTGTATTTGTGGAAATTCTGGTTTCCTCTGTTGCAGTATCCATAGGCTAGAAATGTCTCTCTTTGGTAAGTGATGAGTTGTTTATAGTAGATAAATTGGTTCCCACCCATTTAGAGAGAGAGATGTAGCCCCTGTTTTAGCTGTTTTGTGTTTACATTATGTGGATAGAAAACTATATAAAGGTTTTCTGTGTCTTTTGAACAAGGGCTCTGATGTGTCACTGGCATGTAAATATCTGTTTAAAGCTCTAACCAACATAAGCACTATATTTGTGTTATTTATTGTAATATTTTTGTTTTGTCTAAGTTTGCCACCCTGGTCATCACTCTATTAGCAAGCTGTGCTGGATAAATCAAAAACACACATGCTACAGTATGTAATGCTTAGTATTCTCTGACGGTGTGGTGTGAAATTATTTTATGAAATTATATCATTTTATATATGATTTGCGAGTATAGCAAGCTGATGTCAGGATCTGATTTTATTTGTGGTTTGATTAATGCCTTATTTTACACTAAGATTTTTTTCCTGTGTAACATGTAATGTAAAATGGAATAATTTGTTACAATATTTTCCAGAAAACTGTTTAAGTGCTGCCTTTTCAGGCTCATTAGCTAAGAACAGACGTTTTGAAATACTAAACACCTGAATGTACCTGAAATTCAGCTATCAAAATTAAGTTTCTTCAATAAGGGTTTCACAAAGGAAGTTTTAAAAACTAGTGGATTAAGTAATCTGTAAATCATGAAGAAAAGGACTCTAGTGTTCTTATTTCCCTCTATTCCAGTAAAAAGCCACTTTAAAGTTTCAGGTCATTTTTAATTTTATTATCCTCCTTGTGACAGTTTCTTTTTATTTGACACATAGCACTGTTAAAACAAGGTTGAGTGCATTTTGAAAAGACCAGTTTGTGTGTATTGGAGTCACAGCACCTGCAGTATAATCAGTTGCCCTTATTGACTAACACAGTTGACGCAGAGTTAGTAGAGACAGGGGGAATGACCAGAACACTGCTGAGCAGAAGTATTAACAATTCAACAGCCCATATCAAACCCTTTTGAAAAAATGGCAAGCTAGTCTCAAATGAAATGCCAAAATGGTCTGAAATTGTATGATACAAGTAATGGAAGCCACACAAATTTCCAATCCTCAAAGGATAATTAAATCTTAACTATGACCTTGATTTAATGTTAGACACTTGACTGTTGCATGTTAAAATCAAATCAGAGGTATTCAATATCCTTGACAGATCATGATCTTCCAATCAGCTTCAGAATTTTACATTAAGAGTTTTGATAATTTACAAGTGCTTAGAGAAGTTATTATTGTTATTACAACTATTAACTATTAACTAAGTTAAGTTAGTCTGCAGCAGATCTTCCCCAAAACTCATCGCAATACATCTGCCATACTAGAAATAAGTCCCACTTCATGAATTTTTCAAGCTAAGATAAGTAAGGTACACACACATTCTCTGTTGCCAACTGTTAATACCACATTGGCTGGAAATTCAAAAGCATTTTTAATATTTTGAAAAAAAAATAGCTTAAGGTATATTTGCGGTTACCATAGGGAATAATGTTGATTGAAATAGTATTATGATGCTAAGAAAAGTAGTAAGGGCAGGCAAATACATTAGAAAGTGATATATTGAGAATTCAAGGCTCATGAAAATATGGTATGACCTTTTGGCAACAGTATTTTTTAGTTTAATATTTTTCTAAGACTTCATATTTTTAAAAAAGTATTTTTTGTGTTTTATTCCAGGTGGAGAATCCTTGTTTAAAAATGGCAAAAGAACATGGATTTGGCGACTGGAGATGGTCTTCCATTCCCTTTCAATTTTTCTTTAAAGCTCTTAGAGGCCAATTGAAAGACTGGACACAAGAAGTGAGCAAGGGTTTAATAAAAATACAGAAAAGGTTTGGGTCAATAAATGGATGTGGCTTTCTTAGAAGACAGCGGTCTGAACTTCACAACGTTTAGGTCTCGAAGAAGGAAGCCGTTTGAAGTGATAGATGTGTCTTCAGAGCTTCTGTCCTGACTGTAGCTTCACAGCACAGGAGAAGGTTGAGAGAATTCTAGATGAAGAGGTTTCATTCATTTTTTAACAGATTCCTCTTCTTTTAGCCTCAATGGACTGATCGAAGACCCTGGAGTTCTCTCTCACACCGCCAGGCAGGTGATAGTACAACTTCTGTTGTGTCCTGTGATGTTTTTGCAAAACACTGCCAAATTGGAAGCTGATGTCTCATGGCAGGCTTTTATCTAAACCCACAAGTGTTGTACATAACAAGTAGACACATTTCCATTACTTAAGCAGACAAAATATAAAATCTAAAGATAGAAATGCTTGCTTTGTACATTATATCATATTCCAACATATTAGTCCCAGGACTCTGTAAGTCCCTCTTATGAATTGCAAAATGGGTCTTTTTTTAAGGTATCGATGCAGTGTTGAGTTTGTTTTGTGGTCAGCCTTCCTAACAGCAACACAAAGAGCTTGTTTGATTCCCCCAAACATCTACTGAAATGCCTTACGCAAGTGCATTGTCCAAAAGATCTGTAGGTATTGGAGGTATTTCATGTCCAGATTGGTATGTGATTCATTTTAGTATTAACCAAACACATCAGTGTGCAGGCCCTTTATTTCGTGAGTTTGTGTAGGGTTCTGACAGCTCACTCCAATTTGTGTTTGGAAAGTGTTTTCTCCAGCAAACCTAATTATAATCCTGCTACACTGAATGGAAGACTTAAACATTTAAGATGTCTTTCTTAACCTGCTGTTTGCTTTTTATGGGGATAGCTAACAGATTTTCAATATTGAAGCTAATCGCTTTAATGCTCCCATGTGTGGCTTCAGAATGAGGTCTGAAATAAAGATGTTTAGTCCCAGCTGTGAAAGGTGAAATAAAAAAGACTCTTGTACCACCACCTTAATGCTCCTATTATTGAAAGGGGCCATACATTTTACACTTTATTCTCATTTGTAAGGAATATCCCCTAGGAAATAGTGTTAACCAGCTGTAAATAAACTTTATTCTGTTTAAAGTCTTGTTAATTTATTCACATTATGCCCTGTGTGTTACACTTTAATTGAATATGTCTTTCCAAAGTGAATTGATTTATGTTGTTGTCATTACTTTTCTTCTTATGTGAACCTTGTGGACAAGTTGTGTTGGGCAGATGCTTTTTTCATTCCTTTTCCCTCCCACAGGAGAAAAATGTGAAAAATAAAATCATGAATCACACGGGCGTTCCTTTTTTGATTATGAAAAATGAAAATGAAACTCAAATACATCCTCCTTATTCCCTCTTCCTGAATTAACAGTTTTATTTCAGTCAGTATAACACAAGGATGTGGGTTAGATTTGTAGTGTGCTCTATGCAAGAGGTGCAGAGCAGCATAGCTCTCTCTGGACAGCAGAATATGCCACTTCACTGCGCGTTTTGTGGGTGCGCTCCTGTTTGTCATCCTGTTGGCAGGGAGCATCGCGCCAAGGCAAACCGAGCGGAGACCAGGAAGCAGCTCGGAGAGGGTGCATGAGCCATAGGAATACCCTTTAGCCGTAACCTTTATTGTTTATGCCATACATCTGGACCTGGACCTGTTCATTTGTCTTTGGGTGACAAATGCAGTTATTTCAATCAAGTTAACATAATTGCTGGAAAGAGCTACTTGCTGCACAGTGGTACTACCTTGTGATAGCCTGCTGGTCATCTGCTTTGCATAAACTATTTTTCAGATGCCCTTTGTAACAAGAAGTTGTCATTGCAAGCCTTAGAAGTAGCGTATATATAGACTGCCTACTTTGCAAGCTGATATATTTGAATTTCTGTTTAGGAGTTTCTAAATTTGGTACACATATAAATGGGAGAATGAGTGCAGAAGTACAGTCCTGAGCACTTTACTACATTTACTGTCCCTGTTGGCTTGCATACACATGGGAATATGTCCCATTGGTATGAGCAGCAAATTTCATTGCTACACATCCTTTTCACAGTACAATTGTTTAAATAAAGCAGATGTCTAAGTGAACACCTTACAGAAGTACAGTGGTGTACCAGTAGTTGACACTCTCTCGTATGGATTAGGTGCAAAATCACTGCCTTATTATGGTAACCAGGAATTCTGCTGTAGGAGGTGCCATCCTTGACCTGAGATTTTAAAACAAGATCTGGACCTCTTGGTCACCAAAGATTCCCTGGTGCTGTTTGTACAAGTAAGGGAGTCTAGGCTCCATCTCAGTTTAAGCTTGCATAGTCTGCCTTTGTTAAATATCCACTTCATTTATCTAGTGAAATACTTTATCATGTCTCCACCTGATCTGATGTGCAGTGGGGCTACTGCCACAGAATGGCAGCCTTGTTCACCCAAATGGGTGTTGCACCTCAGAAGGGGATGAGCTGAGCCTATGTCTGTCCAGGAAAAACATGCAAACAGAAATAAAAAGCAGAGATTCAAATTGCCCTCTACCATTTTAAACATTGCCCTCTACATTTTAAAAGAACTCTGAAATTGAGGGTCTGCTAAGTCTTAAAACTAATCATGAATGCTAATCATTTTATTTTTCTTTGTTGTGTTAATATCTGGTGCTCCTTATTTGCTATAGCTCCATTGCTGATGATGAATAACAGTACAAAGCTTGGAGATCACACACTTGGATGCACGCTCACGAGTCATTTTGAGCTGCTGAATGACAACACATGCAGCTCCTAGTACTCAGCTCTGCCAGAGCCCTCATCCTGCAGGTTTTAGAGGTAACCGTTAAATCATTCGTTTCTAAAGACTTTATCATTTAATTGTGATCAAGGAAGCGGGCAATTTGTTCAATTAAGTCATTAAGAGATCATTTGGAGCAAGACTTTGAATACCCCTCAGTAGTCAAGGACCAGAGTTCCATTAATTGAACAAATAACTCTCTGTTCAAGCTTACAAGTATTCTCAGTTGTTAGGTGATTTAGGGGAGGAACCTATAAGACTAGCTGTATTGGAGCTTGCCAGAAGCAGGATTGTTAACCTTTGGTCCTAGGAAACAACTTTTTTTCTTAATTAGGGAAGCGCCCACTGAGATCACTCTAATTTATTTTAATTTAGCACAGGACGCCGAAGTATGGACGGAAAGGGCCACATTGATTAAAAGCAAAAACAAAAATGCCAAGATAAATAAGTCTGAAAGCCCTGTGCCCGAGCTGCAGACTGATCTGTGGTGGTGAGGTGATGTGGTAGACTCTGAAGAAAGTGTATCTGTGGAGAACATCGCCTCAGGACCACGTCCGCTTTCCCTCTGCTCGCAGAGTTGTGGTAGAGACTTCACAAGCCCAAAAATGTGCACTCTCTAGGCTACTTTTTTTTTAAATTGGTGAGCACCGTGCAGCAGAAATCAATAAAGCAATCAATTGGCACAGGATGTTAATGCTAATTGCCGACTTTAAATGTTTATAAGGTAGTACCCTGTAGCCTTTAAACCCATCCCCTGACTGTCACCAGCACTTCCTTGGCCGCAGATACCTTATCTACAGTTTTTGAATGAACAGAGCACAAAATATTAAGACTGCTTCACAGCTCGTGTCACAAGACTCCGGAAAGAAAATGGCTACTGTCACGAAGTGTTCTTTCAGGACCCTGTGCAGACAGCACAATCCGGGAAGGAGAGAGGAAAACACGGGGGGAAAAAGCATTCAAAGGGGCTGGAAGGAAAACAGGGGGCGTGTTCAAGGTGCGCTGGTGTTCAGGGAGGTGTGTCCAAGGCAAACAAGTCCAAGGGAGTCCGTAGCAAATCCAAGAATGATCCAATGTCCAAAACTGGGAGATTCTTCCAGACACAGACAAACAGATTTAAAAGCTGGAGCGGGATCCGACGAAGGGTCGGGGGAATAAAAGGGGAGTAACAGGACCAGACGCTCCAGTCCCGGACCCAGATGGTCAGGACGCCATTGTGAAGCCAATGTCGTCAAGTCGCTCCTGGACTCGCGGATAGGCGGAGTTCCAGGCGTCCATCTTCCAAAGCTGAGCCCAGATTGGCAGGAATGCCTGGCTTTTATAGGACGGGGCGCAGGAACCGGAGGCAGGTGCAGGAGATAAGTACAAAACTAGGAAGGGCTGGAGCGTCCGTAAGAGGAGGGGTTTACGAGCGTGACAGCTACACTCGGGCTCAGCACAGTGGGTTTGAACATGTGCGTATGTGTCTGGGTGAGGGTACGTCTCTGCCGACAAGAACACTGAGCAACTGTAAATGTGTGATTTATTTGCTTAATTCATTTCACTTGGAAGGCTGTTTTAAGAAAAATGACAAGGAATTTGGAAGAGGGCAACTGAACGGTATTACTGGGCAGGCTTCAAAGAGAAGAAATGTGTTTAAACGTCCGAGACTGCCAAGGCTGCGTTGCCAGAAACGGCCGCAACAGTACAGCAATGATGAGATGAACTCCGAGCTCCACAGATGCGCTTCTGTTATTCTGTTGTCCTTGTATACATTGAAACTCCTTGTCACAAGAACCAATCAAACCATCACTGGTATTTAATTAAAGGGGACTCCTTGCATATTTGTTTGCAGCTGTGTTCTGAATGTAAATGTAAAAACTTAAAAGGTTTACTTCTTTTATTAAGCATGCCTAGACATCAGAGGAGGACAACAATTTTCATTTTGTAATATGAACTGTCTTCCTGTATTTTTCCTTTAAAAATTCTATTTCATTACCATCCCATGCTAAACATTTAGAGAAGAACTCAATATGAAAAGTTCAGTGATCTGAATTTCTCTTCATAGTTGTAATACAGCCTGATTCATGTCAGGTATTATTAACACAAATAATAAATGCATGCATTTAGGGGTGCAACCCCCGCCTCCTGGCCAAATTTCCCCTCTGCTCATTACCAATCATGGCCTCCTAATAATCCCCATCTATAAACTGGCTTCCTCACTCTGTTCTCCTCCCTACTAATAGCTGGTGTGTGGTGAGCGATCTGGTGCACTTTGGCTGCCATTGCATCATCCAGGTGGATGCTGCACATTGGTGGTGGTGGAGGGGATCCCCATCACCTGTAAAGCACTTAGAGTGGAGTGTCCAGAAAAGCGCTATATAAATGTAAGCAATTATGATTATTATTATTTTATCACAAAGGATCCCAATGCACTTCAGATATAGAAAGGTGACCCAGTTTATTCTCCTCTGAAGTGCAGCCCCACCTGGGTGACACAGCAGTTAATCTGCACCAGGAGCTCCACTGCACAGAAGATCAGGAGGAGAAGGGAGCTCAGGAAGAGAATAATCAGATCAGGAGGAGAATAATGTTGGGATTGCAGATAGGCCAGATTGTACAAGAGCGTATATTTACCTGGACATTGGGGTTAATGCCTCATACTGTTATGGTGCTTTAAATCTTAAACACGAATGACCAAGTACTCATCTTGGTTTCATGACAAGCTAGAGTCACTTGTAGAAATTGCACGGGTGATACAGAAAAAAAAAAATTTAATTTTGTTAACATGTAGCTGTGGAAATAGCTGTGGAGACATGGAAATAATAATCTTATAATGTACCATAACTGGTCTTGCTTCGTGTAGGAACCTGGAATTTGTCAATCTGAAAACAGATTCATCTGGTAAGATTAATGATGAGAACCATATCTGTTTCCCTGAATAACTGCCTTTGAAAAGCAACAAGGGAATGCTGGTTCCATACATGTCAATATACGTATGTACAGTATATGTGCATAGGTAGAGTTTTATCTCTTGATAAAGACATGCAGTCCCCAACACTGCAATCCAAGATGCCCAGTTCTCATTTGGAGAGAAAGTACTGCACAGCAAAAACGAGGTTTGACCCATTGATCCGATGGACATTTTTTCCTATTAGTATCATTAAAAGCATTTTTAAATCAGACATGTTTTTGATTTCATGTGAATGTCCCACATTCTATTAAATCTTCTATTTAGGAAATGTATTCATAAAAAGAACAGCATCCTATGGGATAAATGCTTGTCTACTGCAAGCCAATACACCATAGTGTCCTTTGCTGTCTAGTTGTAGTTAAGAGCCTTGCTTAAGGATATGACCACACTAAAGACTGGAGTCCACATCTGTCCAAAGCCCTGTGACCTGTTCCTCCATTTCTCAAATGATTTGGCATGTAATCAAAACAAAACTAAATACATCAGACTGAGTGTCAAGTTCATAAGAAAATGTAAAGTGACATGACTAATGTGTTATTTCTTAAGTAGCTAAGAATTACCATTGTTTGTCGAAA